GTAGAGGAGAGAAAATGCAAGAATGGGAGACAACTTGAAAAGTCTCCCACCGCGAGCACCTACTTGAGCACGACGTTGAAGTTGGGCGCTTTGCGTGCATGCGTCTGCGACGCTTCTACAAATGCGCCGCGAGGAGCCGGCACCGCTCGTTGCTGGATGCTTTGCAGCTGTTTTCTCCGCGGTCACGGCGCAGCGCCAATCAAATGCTGCGGCGGCCGTTTCGAATGACGTGGCACCTTGAGACGCCGGAACCACATGCTTGACGACCAGTGAGTCACACGGGATACCCGTGGCTGGATTTTCGGGCTGGCCGTCCTTTCACGGACTGCATGATAGCACAGGGCCCTTTCTCGGTGTATATAAAGGAACGACTTTTGATGGAGCAGTGAGTGAAGCTACCTGTTGCACAGTCAGTGTTCATCAGTGATCACGTGTAAGAATCTATTACGGACAAACTTTTACATGACCAAGCTTCATAGAGGCCTTGGCTGCGAACTCTCATTTGGATGATACCACAGTCGGAAGTGTTGCGAAACAGACTGTTGCGCATGTTGAAGGTGGCGACATCGAGGTTCGATGTTGAAGTACGCGCTGATTGTTGGCAAAGGCCATGGGCAAAGACAAGCCAAAGCGTAGTGCAATCACGTTTGGAACTATTAGATCATGGTTTCTTCGACCGCATATCGAGAGCAGTTGCATTCCCGCACGAAAGGCACTGTGAAATTACAATCGTTCAGAAAAGCCCACCGAATCCGTGTCGTCACATCGACGCGACACAATGAACCCTTGGGACAAATTCCGTTGGCTCTGTACAAGATAGCGCATCGCAAGTCTTTAGTGCGACGTTCATGTCGTCTTTATGCTCTGAATCATCCCACGCCTTGCAAACCTCCGGCTGGTTCTCACGAGCTATCGCGAATCCACATTGCTGATCCTCCGGCATACAAGAGGCTGCTGGTACTGTCGGGGTGTGCTCGTTGGTGCACGAAGTGTCATTTAAACATACTACGAAGTACATGTAAATTATATAGGACGCCCAACCAGCATGCGCATCCCAAGAATGCCTGAATTCTGTGGTGTGCTACGGAATAAACACATTGAAGACTATACATATCCTTGACACTGGTCGTTACACCTCGTTTAGTCTATCTCTCCATACATAGCCACTCGGTCGCACTCGAACATATCAAGCACGACCCTTGGTCCTTCATCCAATACCACCCAGTAGGTCGCTACACTGTACTGCGGTTCTAGCAAACAGACATCCACTAGTCGTGCATTCATACTACATTCCACAAATATTCAGCCCGAAAATCCAGCCACGGGTATCCCGTGTGACTCACTGGTCGTCAAGCATGTGGTTCCGGCGTCTCAAGGTGCCACGTCATTCGAAACGGCCGCCGCAGCATTTGATTGGCGCTGCGCCGTGACCGCGGAGAAAACAGCTGCAAAGCATCCAGCAACGAGCGGTGCCGGCTCCTCGCGGCGCATTTGTAGAAGCGTCGCAGACGCATGCACGCAAAGCGCCCAACTTCAACGTCGTGCTCAAGTAGGTGCTCGCGGTGGGAGACTTTTCAAGTTGTCTCCCATTCTTGCATTTTCTCTCCTCTACGATGCTCAGCTTATCGCACTTGTTGTCGGCGGCGGCCATGGTCGCCCTCGCGTCGGCGGCGGCCGAGCCCAAGGACATTTACTGCGCGGGCCCGGTCCTCGAGACGATCCAAGATGCGCGGCTCTACAACGACAGCAAGCACTTTGTGGACATGGTCATGAAGGCGTCGCCGCAGACAGTCCTCGACGCGTTCACTCAGCTGCCCGACCACTCGAACGCGACGCTCAAGGCATTTGTCGCCAAGTACTTTGACGAGCCGTCGACGGACCTCGTCGAGATCGCGCTGCCCGACTTTAAGGAGTCGCCGGCGCCGCTCGCGTCGATCCAAGACACCGAGATGAAGGCGTGGCGCTCGAGATCAACAAGCTCTGGAAGCTCCTCGGCCGCAAGCGCGTGCTGCCGGAAGGCTACTACGGGTCGCACCTCCCGACCAAGCACAACCTCGTCGTGCCCGGCGGCCGCTTCCGCGAGAGCTACTACTGGGACTCGTACTGGATCATCCACGGTCTTCTCAAGAGCGACATGGCCGAGACCGCCAAGGGCGTTGCGCAGAACCTCCTCGACTTTGTCGCTGACTATGGCTTTGTGCCCAACGGCGGCCGCATCTACTACCTCAACCGCAGCCAGCCGCCGCTCCTCTCGGACATGGTGCGCATCATCTGGGAGGCAACCAAGGACGACGCGTTCCTCAAGCAAGCGCTGCCGCTCCTCGAGAAGGAGTACGCGTTCTGGATGGCGACGGGCGCAGCGTCCCACCGCGTCGAGGTCACGGCCGCGGACGGCACCACCCACGTGCTCAACCGGTACTTCTCGGCCGGCACGGAGCCGCGTCCCGAGTCGTTCCGCGAAGACATGGAGACGGCCAAGCTCGTCCCCGAGGCGAGTCGCGCGGGTCTATATCAAAACATCATTGCGGCGGCCGAGAGCGGCTGGGACTTTTCCAGCCGCTGGTTCGAAGACGGCAAGACCATGAAGTCGCTCTACACGACGCAGGTGGTGCCGGTGGACCTCAACGCGATCATGCACAAGTTTGAGGTCAACCTCGGGGTCATGCACCGCCATTTTGGCAACGCCGAGAAGGCGTCGACGTTCGACGCCGCGGCGAAAGCGCGTCGGGCGGCCATTGACGCGATCCTCTGGAGCGACGCTAGCGGCGCGTGGAAGGACTTCATCCTGAGCACCAAGAAGCACTCGAGCATCGTGTCGATCTCCGACTACACGCCGCTGTGGGCGCAGGCGTACGACGGATCGGACGCCAAGCGCAACGCCAAGGTGCTCTCGAGCCTCCAAAGCTCGGGTCTCGTCCTCGTCGCAGGCATTCAGACGACGACGGCCCATACTGGCCAGCAGTGGGACGCCTACAACGCGTGGGCGCCCGAGATCGACTTTACCGTCGAAGGTCTCTTGCACATGAACTCGTCCGACGCGACCGCGTTTGCGTCCAAGATCGTGACCGACTGGGTCCAAACGGGCCACTCGGCGTTCCAGAAGACGGGCTACATGCTCGAAAAGTCAACGCGTCGGTCGTCGGTGGCCTCGGCTCGGGCGGCGAGTACGATCTCCAGTTTGGTTTTGGCTGGTCCAACGGCGTCATCCTCAAGTTTCTCACCGACTACCAAGATTTGTACCACCACGACCGCTGCTAAACGGTCGATATATAGTAATAATGGAATCTTTGTCGATGCTCGATCGTGCATGTTGTTTTGTGGAAATCGATGTGGTCGAAGCAACCAGAGTCTGGTTCTGGTAGCTAGCTCGCTTTGCGGGTATCTCTTCACCGGAACCCTAACCCTAATGTACGCATGGATGCTAAAAGCAGCGCACACCATTCTGTTCCAGCAAAGATTTTATATATTGACTAGCTCTATGCTTGGGTAAAGACTAGAGTCGTGACTAGGCGCCGAGCCAGTGGTGCTGGCCAAACTGCCAGCCGATGGTCGCGCCGGATGAAATACCGAGAAAGAGGCCGAGACACATGATGGCGCCCGCCGACTCGCGGTCTTTCTGGGCCACGAGGCGCGGCCCGAGACCAAACGTAATGGTGCTGAGCACGCCCGTCGAGAGGCCGAGGAGGAAGTTGACAAAGAGCTGCCAGAAAATGTTGAACTCGTGCGCGCTCGCCATGCAGTAGAGCGGGTTGAGGCCGCCGCCCGGGAGCCCGAGCAAGAGCAGCACGAAGAGGCCCCAGCGCGCAATCGACCAGAGAAAGCACGACGTGAGCGAAAAGTACTTGTACAGGAGCGGCGCGAGGATCCGGCCGGCAAAGTCGCCGTAGTTGTAGCTGAGCAGGACGCCGTTGATGTACCAGCCGCCCCACGTCGCGGGCCCCGCGAGCTGAAAGCCCGACGAGATGCCGATACCAGGAAACGCCGTGAGCGAGCACAGGAAAATGAGAAACTGGCACGCCACGGGCACGGCGATCGTCGTCGCGATGCGCCAGAGACGCGCCCACATGACCGGGAACGACTCGTGCGACGCCTGCCGGCGCGCCGTCTCGGCGTCGTTGAGCTCCATCAAGTACGCGACCGCGGGCAGTTGCAGCAGCTGGTAAAAGAGGTACACGGCCACAAAGCACACGACGATGAGGACGCTAAAGAAGATGTAGAACGAGACCTTTTGGATCTGCGTCGTGTCGGCCGGCGCCGGCTCCAAGCCGCCGACGCAGAGCTGGATGAGCGTGCTGAGCGTCACGTTGATAAAGCCAGACGTGCCGTTGCCGAGCTGGATCGCGTTGGTGAACGCTGCGTCCGGGAAGAGCGACGAGAGTGCGTACAAGGCCGCTTCGGCGAGCGAGTTGGTGAAGCCGACGAGCCCGAACGCAACCAAGACGACGATCGCACCCGTCTCGGGCGTCGCGTCGCACGCGTCTTGGAGGATGATGGCGAGCGCGCAGAGAACGTAGATGGCGTATCCGAGGCGGACGCGCGTCCACATGCCGAGCTTCTTGTCGAGGCCAAAGACGACCTGGAAGAGGTGGCCCACGAACATGGGCCACGTCGAGACGGGCGTCGTGAGGAATGCAAAGTTGAACGACGTCGACGCGAAGCGCGACTGGTAGTAGTTTTGCGCCGACAAGCACGTGTAGTACGCCCAGAGACACGACGCGTTGAGGAAGAGGAGCGACCACCAGAGGAAGCGGCCGTGGGTCGTGAGCGCCTCGACGACGTGCGTCGGGAGCTCGTCCTTTGTCGCCTCCGAGTCGTTGACGGCGACGAACTTGGCGTCCTTGGGGGGCGAGTCCATCTCGAAAGCGAGCAAATGCGGAAATGAGCTCTGCCAACTGATGGAGACTGACCGCAAGAGATGCGTGGTCTTGCGACCTCGGTTCAGCGTTCAAGTAGCCAAGGACGACGATCGGACGAAGCACGTTGTCAGCATCTTCCAAGCCATGTTTTTGACGCACTCTCGTTGCAAGGGCGCTGGTCAAGGTGGCACTATCTTTAGAGCTGTATCGGCTAGACACCGCATCCTAACTCGCCATTCTGTGCGCCAACTGCCCGTGTACAGATCAAGATCTCTGTTCCGGTACAATCCAATGCGCTGAACCAAGCCGCACGCGGTTGCTTGAAGCTTCGAGATGCGTTTTTGAAGCTGATGGCTCGACAATCTGCTGGTACACTGCGCGGGGTTGTAAGGTGCCACGTAACCAAGCCGATAGCAGTGACTAGCGTTCCGACTAGGATGATGGGAGCTGGAATTTTCTGTTTCGAACGCTCTCTGCGCTGCATTTCACACGGACGGCGCCCTGGCGACAGCAGTGCGAGGCGTTGGATTGGGTCCAGCCAAATAGGGGCAGTCCTTGGAGACAGATATTTCTCACCTCTGTTGGCGTCGTAGCGCCCGGTCGCCCGATAGCGTTTGATTGTATATAATTGTTGAAGCTTTCTATTTCATTGCACAAGACTCCACACTTGGACGAGTTTGCACATGACGTGGCAGCCCTCGAGCACAGCTTCCATTAAAATTCCTTTTCGGCCAATCAAAGCGCAGCACTTGATATCAAGTCGCTGCTTCGCCCTTGCTTCATCGTTGCTTCGATCCTGCCGCTACTGGCACTTATTACGTGTGTCTTGTATGGACCCAGCCTCAAGAGTATATATACCCATTCTTGTTTCATCCGTCAAAGCAACACGCCTGGAGTAACGCTCCGGAGACACGACACGGTGTCCCGTTCTGCCATCCGCGCATCAACCTAAGATAGCTTTCGAAAGACTGCTCAAGACTATACGATAGAACGCACTGCGCTAATGAAGGTCATCGCTCCCCGCCACTCGATCGCAGTGTCGTTGGGTCGGCGACCTTCACTCGGAGCGATCCAGACCAGCACTCAATCACCATCCCGTCTTCCTGACATGTACCGACGCACTTTGCAATTGGCTTTTACCAACCATGTCGGGCTTGAAGACGGCGTTTCGCCACTACCAGCAGTACGCAAAGGCGCCCGTGCCGGGCTGCAGCATCGCGCACGTCGACGACAACGTCTTCCACGTGAGCACGCGCCTCGTCGACGGCATCTTTCGCGGCGTCACGGTGCACTGGGAGCTCACGATCCCGCCGTCGTACCCGCACTCGCCGCCGTTTGGGCGCATCCTGCCCGACTATGGCTTTACGCACGAGTACCACTCGCACGTCTTTCCCGACGGCATCTGCGTCGACGTGCTCGCCAACCACGAGTACATGCACCAGAGCGCGTCTCGGTACGGCGGCTGGACGCCGAGCAGCAACCTGACGCTGCTCATGATCTACATGCAAGCGTTCTTGGCCGACCCCGACTACAGCAAGCCGTCGGCCGCGGCCATTGCGCGGCTTCGAACCATGGACGCGGCGTACAAGTGCGCCGTCTGCGGCCACGACCCAGCCATGAGCGAGATCCCAGACAACGAGTCTGAGGTTAAGGAGGAGACCACGACGCTGACGCCGCACCTCGAGCGCGTCCGCCGTGAGATGGTGTGTCCGATCCGGATGGAAAACCTCGTCGAGCACAACGTGCGTCTCGGGTACCCCCTGCGGGTCGACGCGGCGCCGCGCCGCACCACGATCACTCTCTACCCCGAGATCATGTCGCGCGAAGCGTTTGACGAGGCGCTCGACGCTGCGACGACGCGTCGCGTGCCCCTGCGCACGCCAACAGGTCAGAGCTACACGGACTGGCTGCCATTGTACTTGCACCCGTCGCACGTCGCGCGGCATGGCAAGGACGTCGTCTTTGCACCCGTCGGCGACATGACGTATCTGGACGTGCTGCTCCGCGCGATGAACTCGCAGATCGTGGCCGTCATGCAGGGCAACGAGCACGAGTCCGAGGCTGCAATTGTCGCGTACGCCAACGTGCTGCGCCTCGCCAAGGCGTACCTCGCTGCGACGCCGTCGGCGCAGGCGACGCTCAACAGCCAAGTGGGCGCCTTCGTGCGCACGCCATCGGAGCGGCGCAAGGCGGCGGTGCCGGACCTCGGCGAGTTCTTCATCAAGATCTGCCTCTCGAGCTCGCGCAACCACGACTTTGCCAATCGCGACACCAAAGCCGCGCTCTTTGAAGAGCACTTTGCGCGCCAAGTGCGCTGGATCCGGCAAGCTGACGCCGCGTGCGTCGACTTTAACGTCGCGTGTCCGAACCGCCTCGGACGGCTCTTTGCGGCGAGCGAGACCTCGAACCGCATGCTCACGTTCGCGATCGAGGTGTCGCGCACGTTTGGCGGCGCCGACTTTGAGGCGCAGATGGACGCGCACTACGGCCTCCCGCCCAGCGCGGTGCTCCGCGCGTTCCAAGACCGCATCAAGCGCATCAAGTCGAGTCTGACCAACTACAACATTCTGATGCAGGCGTGGGGCTACAGCGACCAGATCCAGTCGCCGGACGCGATGCTTGCCGTCTTGCGTGCGGCCGTCGACCAGTCGGCGCGCGCCGGGTACGATGTCTCGGGGCGTCGCAGCCATGCGAACGGTCCGCGAGGCGGGAGCCACAGCCAGCGTGGTCGACACAACAACCAAAACCGTCGGTATTAGTGTCTCTAGTGTGTATTTATGAACAAAGGTGATGTACTCTTGTTGAATTCGTCGGCGCCGACAGAAGAGGACGGTTGTCTCCTGGAAGAACCGCAGCATCGGCTCAATTCCTTTTAAGGCCGAGGCGTTGGCTCCAGAGCCATGTGTCGTTGTGATATCGCCTCAAGAGAGTACGCTGGTAGGAGGACCAAGGCAGAAGAGGGACCAGAATAGAAGAGGCTCCAGGAAGCTGGACGTGGCAGCGTGGTCCGGTCGAGGTGGACGCTGATTGGGTAATTGGACAGGCGTGAGAAAGCATTTCCCACACACGTGAGAAACAATTCCCACTCTGGCATTTCCACGACCGTAAATATACGATGGAGGACAAGACCAAGCCGTCGCTCCGGTCGGTCATCAACAACCTGCAGTCGTGCTTGGACGAGATGCTGCCGGACCAGCTGCGCAACGAGTCGGCGACCGTCTTCCAGCAGCACCGTGCGTAGCCCAGGCGATCCAGCGGTGCCTCATCCTACATGCCATGCGTAGTCGCGAGCCATCCCTTTGGCATGGACCCATGATGGTGAAATGATATGCTGCAGGCGATGGGCAGGTGCGCACAGATTTGGTGCAAAGTACTGTCGGGTGCGCCCATGGACGACCGTTTTTCTCCACCTGCCACGTCATCGTGGGCCATCGATGGCCATCGAGGTCGAAGCAAAACCAATCCCGTGCCGTCATCTGATCCCAGCAGTCGTCATGGTGCAACGCTTGGCGCAGCCATTCAAACTGCCATCGCCATCACGAGCGCGGCATGTCACTCACGAGTCCCATAGACACGAAGCAGGGTGTCCCAGCCGGCGGATGCTCCACCACCGCCATCGCGTGCGTCGCTCAGCTACCTGTAGAAGTGTACGAGTGATGGACCTTGCTGGTATCGACGCATCCCCATGTACTACATCGGATTACGGAAGCATTCGCGGGCTGCCATCGACTTCAACATTGAGTGGTCCTGCAGCCAGTGCTTGATTTCTCGCGTGAGAAATCCAGCCGCGCGTTCTTGTGGTGCCAAGAGCGTCTGAGTATCGTTCTTCAGAGGTCCTCTTACAATTAATACCTGGTCGGCGCCGAGCGCAGTGCAGCAGCCACTTGCGCTCGCCGCCCAAGGCGCATTCCTCGCCCATAGGTCTTGTCTACCAGCCTTGCTGCTTGCACACCCTCACGCGCGTCGTGTCGCGGCTGCATAGAGGCGACGTCGGCCATGGCCGTCGCACGCCGATTTCCGGATAACGTTGGTTGTGAATCTTGCAATAGAATCCAATGGATTTATTTGCACTTGGTGTTTGTATGGCGTGATGTTGAAGGGACAAAATATTGCATCGGCCGCCCACTGCGCAGCGTATCCGGACCAGGGAGATCTTTAGAGCTCTGGCAGCCTCATTCTTGAAATTGCCCTTCGCCATGCAAGCCGCCCAGAGCTCCCGCCGCTTCTTCAGCGCCCACGCGCGCAAGTTCTTTGTCGGCGGCAACTGGAAGTGCAACGGGTCGCTCAGCCAGACGCAGGCGCTCGTCGACACCCTCAACACGGCCACGATCCCCAAGAACGTCGAGGTCGTCGTCGCGCCCGCCTCGATCCACGCGCTCACGGTCAAGTCCAAGCTCCGCGCTGACATTGGCGTCTCGGGCCAGGACACGTGGAGCCAGGGCAACGGCGCTTTCACGGGCGAGGTCTCGCCCGAGATGCTCAAGGATGCTGGCATCAACTACGCCATCATTGGCCACTCGGAGCGCCGCCAGAAGGGCGAGTCCAACGACGAGGTCGCCAAGAAGGCCGGCTACGCGCTCAGCAAGGGCGTCTCGGTCATCGCCTGCATTGGCGAGACCAAGGCCGAGCGTGAGGGCCAGCAGACGATGCAGGTCGTGACGGCGCAGCTCGCCGCGTACGCCAAGCACATCTCGGACTGGTCGAACGTCGTCATCGCGTACGAGCCGGTCTGGGCCATCGGCACAGGCTTGACTGCCAGCCCCGAGCAGGCGCAGGACGTCCACGCCGGCATCCGCGCGTGGCTCAAGGACCACGTCTCGGCCGCCGCCGCCGACGCGACGCGCGTCATTTACGGCGGGTCGGTCACGGCCTCGAACGCGTCCGAGCTCTCGAAGAAGGCCGACATTGACGGCTTCCTCGTCGGCGGCGCGTCGCTCAAGCCCGACTTCCTCAACATCATCAACTGCCAGAACGACGCGGCCAAGAGCGTCGGCGGCCCCGTCAACGTGGCCATCAACGGCTTTGGCCGCATTGGCCGCCTCGTGCTCCGCGCCGCGGAGAAGAACCCGCTCCTCAACGTTGTCGCGGTCAACGACCCGTTCATCCCGACCGAGTACATGGAGTACATGCTCAAGCATGACACGGTCCACGGCCTCTTTGACGGCACGGTGCGCCACGAGGGCGACCACATCATTGTCAACGACCGCAAGATCCGCGTCTTTGGTGAGAAGGACCCCAAGGCCATTCAGTGGGGCGCCGCCGAAGCCGAGTACGTGGTCGAGTCGACGGGCGCGTTCACGACGCTCGAGAAGGCGTCGGCGCACTTGGTCAACGGCCCGCGCAAGGTCGTCATCTCGGCCCCGTCCGCCGACGCGCCGATGTTTGTCATGGGCGTCAACCACGAGCAGTACGACCGCAGCATGCACGTGGTCTCGAACGCGTCGTGCACAACCAACTGCCTCGCGCCGCTCGCCAAGGTCGTCAACGACAAGTTTGGCATCGTGGAGGGCCTCATGACGACGGTCCACGCCGTGACGGCCACGCAGCTCACGGTCGACGGCCCGTCCAAGAAGGACTGGCGCGGCGGCCGCGCGGCGTGCTTCAACATCATCCCGAGCTCGACGGGCGCCGCCAAGGCTGTCGGCAAGGTCATCCCCGAGCTCAACGGCAAGTTGACGGGCATGTCGTTCCGCGTGCCGACGGCCAACGTCTCGGTCGTCGACTTGACGGTCCGCCTCCGCAACAAGGCCTCGTACGAGGAGATCAAGGCGGCGATCAAGCACGCCAGCGAGCACGAGCTCCGGGGCATCCTTGGCTACACGGACTCGGCGGTCGTCTCGAGCGACTTTATCTCGGACCCGCGCTCGTCGATCTTTGACGCGGACGCCGGCATCGCGCTCACGGACGACTTTGTCAAGCTCGTGTCGTGGTACGACAACGAGTGGGGCTACTCGAACCGCGTCCTCGACCTCATCACGCACATGGTCCACACCGAGCGCCAGTAAGCGCATTGTAGTCTAGTAATGTAATAGCACCTCTCATATTCATTCTCTCTTGACGCGATGCCAGAAGATAAAGTCATGAGACGGAAGGTCATGCGTAAGATGAGATGGAAGACGGTTCCTCATGCATGTCGATGCGGTCCCATCGACTCGTTGGCAAGCCGTCCTGCTGCCGCTGCACCACGTCATGCGATGGTTTGAAACGTCTCGAATTTGAGTTTAAAACACAAACGACTGCGGTAAAAAACACCATATCCGGTCTGTACGGCGTCCGACGTCATCGTCGCAATTCACGCATCTTGCACGGTATGGTGGCTTCTTTACCAGCGCGCGCGCTTCTGCAAGCCAGTGACGAGTGGTCGCGAAGCTACGGGATGCGGCGACGACCGCAGCGACGCGCCTCGACTCGGACGCGCACCGCGTCGTCAAGTCCCAGCTGCGCAACATTTGTACTGCTCTTGGACGGTGTTGTCGACGGCGTCGGCTTGATGTCGTCCTAATAGAAGATCGCGTACTATTTGTTTGAGATTGCCGTCGTTGTCGCCTTACAGTCTCACTCAACACCAAGCGAGGTACATAGCGTACTTTTTCAGTCTTTATCGTGGCGCGATTCCATCCAAACCAACGCCAGGTCGACCACATTGCGTTTGAAAATGACCTCGCCAAGATTTGGCACATTTGTAGAGGGCGCTTTGGAGACCACGAAATGCGAGGTTGCGTCGACGAGCGAGGCGTACAGCGGTAGCGAGACTTGATCCAAGATGCATTCCAAACTAAGATCGTAGTGCCATCTGAGAGGCACGACGCGCACCAAACTAAGATTCTAGTGCCATCTTAGAGGCACCACTCCAGGACGCCGGCGCCGCTTGTCGACCACATCAAGTTTGAAATGGAATCGCCCAAACTTGGCACAATGATAAAATACACTTAAGAAAGCAGAGCAGACCACGCTACGTTGCCGCTGCAGTCGTACAGAACGCACAATGCTCCACCACAGATACAAAGCGCTCTTAAAACGTTAAAGAAATGACCGCAGTGCCTTCGACAAGAAAAATATCGCTCAACTAGACCATCCCATCACGGCGAGTGGGAAAGATCGACTCCATGACAGTTCGCGACTGAGTGTCCTCCTTCAACCCGACGCAGTGATGCGCGTCCAGTATTGCTTTCTCCGCGTCTACGTCACATCATGGTCAAGTTTGTCGTCACCTCGCTCGCGCTCATCGCTAGCACTTTTGCGGCCGCTGCTACCGTCGACACCCCGGCGATGGGCGTCGACGCCAAATTGGGCACCGAGACACAGCAGCACCTTCGCGAGGGCGGCCAGAAAGAGTGCTTTGGGTCGATCTGCGGTGGTGTTGGCTTTGGTTGGGGTCTTGGTGGCGGCTGCGGTCTCTTCTCGCCGTTCCGTTGCGGCGGCTGGTTCTAGACGCCACATTTTGTGTGAAGCTGCAATGGACGATATACCGATAACCGTCTATCAAATCAATGCTTCTCTTGGATCTACAGCTATCAATCTCACCGAGGTAGAATTCACGCATTCATGTTGCAATCTCCTCGGACACATCAAGGCCATGCCGTACATTTCAGATCTACTCAGCGGCTGTGTCATGGCCATTGAGCGTAGCGAGCTTGTCTCTTTCGGAGTCCGGACGCGGCAACCTGAGGAGCTGGCTGACCAAGGCCGCGGACTGATAGTCACGGGTCCGTAAAGAACGCTTTGCGGTGTGTAAAGGCATGCTTGATGGGTATAGAAGTTAGGGCATAAACAAAATTTATGCATTCGGCAAAAGAGAGCGTCGTTCGGCTACTTGATGGAGGCTGCGGTTGTGTCTGTCATCGCCTTTTTCTTACAAATGGCATGTGCCATGTAGACGTCCCTCGTGATGCCGCCAATAGTATAATTCGGCATAACTTCACCAGTTTCTAGCGCTGTAGACCGCGCATGATGGTGCAACTTGTTGCTACGTGCTACAAAAAGAATACTTTACAACTGTACCAACTTTAAGCCATTTTCTATTTTTGACCAAGTTTGGCCATACGAGACGGCCAATTCCTCGCAATCAGGAACATCTCGACAAGTTGCGTGCTGTTAGCCACATTATCCGGATATCTGGTGTGGGTGCCACGAAAAGACGATGTTGCGGCCGCCAAGCTCTTGTCCATAGTGAGTGGCGCGTCATCTCGAAGCATTCAAAGTATCACCAGGCCGCGCATTAGACACCATTGCGTTTGAAAATGAACTCGCCAAGATATGGCACATTTGTAGAGGGCGCTTTGGAGAACTCGAAATGCAAGGTCGCGTCGACGTGCGAGGCGTACAACGGTACCGAGACGCGATCCAAGATGCACGCCATTCTAGGATCGTAGCATCATCTGAGAGACGCGACGCACTACAAACTAGATCGTAGTACCATCTTATAGCCGCCACGCTAGGACGCCGACGCCACTTGTCGACAACATCACATTTGAAATGGAATCGCCCAAACTTAGCACAATGATAGAAGACACTCTGAAGTGCAGAGCAGACCACGCTACATTGCCGCTGTAGTCGTACAGCGCGCGCAATGCTCCACCACAGATACAAAGCGCTCTTAAAACGTAAAAAGGCAAATGACCACATCGGTACGCCGTAGTCTTCGTTCTTTTACACTTGTAGCGACGATCGATCGCCCTTTCACTGGATCGAGAATGTGATTCACGGCACTATTCGTACGAATACTACGTCCAGGAGCCATCATATCCTGCGGAGCAATTGGGACAAGAGGCTTTGAGCTCACAGTGCTCGGATTGCATGGACTTTTCTTCCGCACTCTCTCGCGGTGATTTCATGTCGTCTAATATCACTCGTGTAAAACGTGTGCCATGCTATAATGCGTCCTCGTATACCAGAGACGAGGTATTCACAAGTTTACCGGTACTCGATTACTATGACGTGGCACTCGGAGAAGGTCCCATTTCCTAGCAAACGTTCAGTCGCGTAAAAACAGTGTAAAAACGAGCACGACAAAGGCGAAACGCAGTGCTTTTACAAATAGAATCGGTAAAACCTGGAGCGCTGTTCATTCTGCCATTTGCGATCGAGGGCCTCGGTCACACGGCAGGGCGGTCGCTCCTGCCGACTGTGAACGGTGAAACTCGTGTGGCCGAGGACCCTTCTTTCGTCGTTCATACAATCGATTCAGGACATTGAGTCACCAAGCTAGCGCTTGCAACGACCGCTTCTCATGCAGCGTGCGAATGCTTCTCGTCGAGGACCCATACCACACCCATATGAGCCACACCAAGCATGGTGGGTGGAATGCGTATCCGGACAAGATCCGGATACCAACATCAAACGCAATACCAAAACAGTCGACACAGCGGCAAGTCACGACGACGACGTTGGCGGTGGAGAAGGAGCTGCGCAGGCGCCGCGTCGTCTTCAGAGCGCGCACGCGAACTCATGGCGCAAATCCCGATGAATCCAGCTCAAGCACCCGCGCATGGCGTCCTGCTGCTTGTACACGGTAGTCAGCCTGAGACTGCTGGCAGCGCCACGCAAACCTTTCGCCCGCAGCGAACCTCTCGCTCGACGTCGCGTGCAATCCGACGTGTGCTCACGCTGCAAATGCGCAAAGCTTATAGCCCTCGGCAGCCATCATCTTAAGCTGCGCGCGCCCAAGGTCCACGACGCAGACGCGAGATTGGCACGGGCCACATTCTTGACGGCGTCGGCGCGGCGCTCGTTCGCGTCTGGCACAGGGTACTACACTACTTGCGCGTTAGGTTTGTCTCACAATGCGACTAGGCGTCTGAATCGAACGAGGTTTCCACCCTACCACTGGCTGTGGGAACGTGCGCGACTCAAGTAAGAAGCACGCGCGCGATCGGTGTGGACCAGGTCTGGACGACTTTCTCGAGGCAGTAGACGCCTCTAACGCTCGACGCCGTGGTCGATCAAGCACGCGACAGCGGACACTGAGATAGTCCTCTACAATGCACTGGCGACGATATCCCCACTGCCATTCGCGCGATTGCACCGACACGTCCACCGTGCCGCTGGTGGCGCCGTGGCACGTGAGACCGCTCGACGTTGAATCGTTAGTTGCGCCTCGACGAGACGACGACGCTGGCACCGGCGCCCACTCTTGCACTGCAGCAGCTTGTACCTTCTCCTATCGACCGAGCTTGCCCTCGTTGCTGTGGCCATCGGTGCGTAGTGCTTTGTATTGATCTTTATTTGGTATACACACTGTCATGTAGCTCTTGCCGATGGAGATACCCGTCGACGTCTGCAGTCGGTATTGTACACCACATGAATGCATACCGTCAATTGCGAGACCTGTCGCTCATTGCTTGTCGCTTAAGCTTCTTTGAAAAGATATTCGGGTAAAACCGGTGGCCGTGACGTCCGCCCCTCTTTGGGCAGATTTAGATAGGTGCCTCAGATCATGATACGTTTCGTATATTCATCATGCACATGTGAAGTTCAGGACTCTAGGCCTTTGAGTTGGTCGCTTGTTCGACGCGCATCACAAGGATGCGAAGCTTCTCGTTGTCGTTCGGAAACGCTTCTTCGCATTTGTTGCAGACTGTCGCGTCCATCGGTTGGGAGGTTTCGCAGTAGACGCAGAAAAGACCATCGTATATCTCCAACCCGTTCTTCTTGGCAACTGCGAGACGCTTTAGAAGCACCTTGAGCTTGAGCGCAACAGTTGCTAGAGGTCCGGCGCATCGTTCGCAGTGCGACTCAAGCAGAGAGTTGGAGGCACAACAAAGCTGGCACACAACACGTGTGTTCACGAGCATCGTAGTAGACCGCGGCGTTGCCTATGAGAGAAAGATCCAAGGTGATATGCGCGAATCGGATGTGGTTGATCGTACCACTGCCGTGTCGGTAGACGTCTTGGAGATACTGGACGCTGAGGTGGGCATTGCCGAGGCGTTCCTGCGTGCGTCAGTGGTGGGTAGTAGCTCACTCGAGCACTGCACGTTCTGAGACATTGGTTTCTACGGGACGAGATATCGTACATTTAGTGTTGCCGCGATAAT